ATTTGTGAGCAAATTAAGAAAGAGAAATATATCCATTATTCTATTTCTTACGGGAAAAAATTTCCCATAATAAACAAAATAATGGATGAGCTGGTGAATGGAAATAAGGAAAGCAAAGTTCAGACCGGAAAGCAAATCAATTTTTGTATAATTAATTTAATCTTTAAAAAAAATTTTTTTAATCAACTAAAATCGACTGGGAAACGGAAAACTAACTTATTAAACAATTAAGTCAGTATGTTAGACTTTGAGATTTAACAAATTTCGAAATTTCACGAATTTCATTGATCTCTTCATCCTGAAAGTATCTGGAACCAGAATTCAACATATAAATCAAGGATAGACAACGGATACGAAGGAAAACCTAGTAACTGTTATGCCAATAAAATATTCCAGTATACTGACCATGTTGTTCCTCGAATCAGAAAAATGGCAACGAACAGGCCAAAGGTTAAGGAACTTCTCTTTTTTCTTTTTAATTCAAAAAATATTCCACAATACTTTTGAGCAAGACTTCATTTACCAACAACTAATAAAACGTCAAATATACCTGAGAAATAAGCAGGATAATCGTTTGAACGGTTAATAACTGTTGTCAGACAGTATTAGGAATTATGAAAACCCTGCAAAAGTCGGGAGTTGCAGAGTCTCAACTCAACAAGGCACTAATGTTCCAGCCAGAAGCATTTATTTTGACTCCAGAACATATAACATCCGAAAATGTCAAATTCTTCAAACGAACTGTGGATAACATATAACAGATAACTGAAGGTATTGGATAGCATATAACAGATGGTAGAGTTAGTAACTACACTCCATACAGTTTTCTGCATGTTCTGAAACAAGACGAAGGCCAACTCCGTCAATTCACCCAGACTGCTTCAGTCTTAGGCATCAAACGTTTTAGAGTTGAGAACGATACTCTTGAAATTCTGAAGGTTCAAGTTCATTTAGACGACGAGTCCATGTAAAGATAATTTCAACATCCATGAATCCAAAGATTCCTATTACAACTTCACCATCATCATCCTTTTACCGCTTCAACTTTTAGTAATGCTACAATACTAAAAAGGTCAGAAATTTTGCACCATTGCAACAAATTATAAAATCTGTTGAATTATAGAAAATGAGCTTTATAGCAAGGTATCAAAGTACTGCAAAATTAACGAATATGTACTCGCCAAGAGGTAGCGATTCGAAGAATGTACAAAGTGCGACCAATGCATGGAGGAGGCTTATGAAGCTATTGGAAAGTAAGAAATAAAATGTAACAAAAAGCAACGTACGTTTGCTGATCTACAAGATAAAACAAAACTTAGTAACTGAAACAGCAAATGGAATGGATTCCTACTGAAAGTAGTACAGTCATGCCAAAGATCCATTTCCCACAAAAACCACGAAACTGACAAAACACAAAACAGGCCGTGGAAAAATGCAAGAAACCAAGAAGATATGAAACAACCAATTTTTTTTTATTGCAGCTACATACAAGAGAATTCACTTACGAAATTTACAATCTCTTGAATTATAGAAAGTATAGCAAGGCATCAAAACACTGTAACGTGATCAGAGGAAGAGTGACATCGGGGACAGCATTTCAAAAACAGAAGATAACAGAAGCACATTAACGACTAATCAAATAAATAAACTTCCCGTTCGTAGGATAACCATTTCGATGTGAGAGATTAATGCTCATACATAGTACAATCAGTACATTTTAGTTCACCTGTTCTTTAACGCTGCCATTCTTTTCGTCACATATAATATCTTTTAAAGGACGACGGAACAGAAGAACCTAAAAAGTAACATCACTAAATTCTACGAAAATACAGAGAGAAGATTTGTACGGTTATCATTATTATTTTTTGTATGGTTGTTTCTTAGCACATGTCGTTTTTTCGTTTTTTGTCAACAATGAAATTGGCTCAGGAACTGCTAAAGAAAGCAAAAAGCGATCATAATTCAAGCAATTTTGAAAAACGAAGTGACAGTCTTAAGATAGAGAGGGCAGTAGCGGTAATCTGAAGTTGACAAGGACTAACTGGAAGCAATATCGGAATGAATTATTTTTGTAATTACAAAAGAAGTTGCCAAGAAATACAAAGTCAGTCGCTCTACACCATGCAATATTTTGTATTTGCGATAAAGAAAACTTAATGTTTTGTGAACACTACAACTTCGTGTTGTGAAAAACATCGCACACAAATATTTTGTGAAACAACAAGAAGGGAAGAGCCATACCGAAAGCAGAAGAAATCTTGATAATTTTGGTTATGAAGTATTGGAATATAAAGGCTTCGGTGATATTGCAATAAAAATTCAGGATATAAATTCTACTCAGACAAAAAGAATAACATACGTGTCGCTCTGGTGTATGGATCATGTAATGAACCCATCCCTGACTCTGCTGTATTCCAAGTGATCGCCACTCTTTTTCACTCATCAATCGATCCTTTGGTATAAGTCGGACCAAATCCTTGGGTACATGTACATGTCTGAAAACAAAACATGTCACCTTAATAAGTCACCTAGCTTAGTACTGTAAACTGTAAAAAGACTGAAACCTCTCCAATCACTTCAATGAATTTTTGCGATCTACAACCCAACTAATTTTATTATTAATTCAACTCTTAAGAACATCTAGCTTTTTTGTGCAGAACTGCAGATATTACACTATTTACATCTCCGTTTCTTGATCACACCGGTAGGTAATATTCATGGTATTCAGAATCATTATCACATCACACTGTCATCTCAGTACTAGTAAAACCTCACTAACTACAAACTGCTTCTGTTCAAATTAACTTCCACAAATCATAGCACATACCTGTATTCATATCTATCATCGCTATATTTGTTCGAATAATAAAAGTCATGAGGTGAAGCACTCATTGTACTTAGCGGAAAACTGACTCAGTGACTCGACTTAGAAACGAAGAACGTGAAAATCGAATTTGCTCCTTCGTCCCTAAGGAGAAAATTTTCTTTAAGTACTTTCGGACATATTTCTCAACGAAGAATATATGCATCATTTTTTAACCTTCAATCCCCATGTAGTCACAGTCCGAGTGGAAGCATGGATGGGACTTTGAACTTTCGCAGCAGGATGTGTGAAAAGATTTCCACGCAAGGTGAGAATTAAAAGGGCACAAGAATAAACGGATGCCTGCAGTTGCAGAACACTCAGTATCGGGGTACGGATGAGAAAAGTTTGGAATATGAAGTCAACTTTAGCATCTCAAACTGCGCCATCTTCATCAAACAGTCGACAGTACACACGAACTATGACTCACTACATGCCATCTTACAAGGCAATAATGACAGCGAATGGTCAAAAGAGTAAGTGAAGGACGCTGCAATACTCACTGCTCCTACCTGAGACCTTCAATTTTAGCATGTCTAAGTCTAGCATTTAATATTGTTTGTAGCCCTTTTGTCATAATGGGTATTTTATTAAACAAAATTACGCATAACCACCAGCTTGACTATCGCAACAGGTATTCCATCTCATGGAGGAAACCGAGTGATGAAATAGTCAAATCCGATTCGAAAGAGTACCCCTTAGGCCTCCCGCTGCAAAAGAACCCATAATACCGCCAATGGTACTGACCAAAAGAACCTCTCTCCCTCCCCACACTCCGACCTCTAATCATACAACTCGACAATCACAACAGGCAACCACGCGAACTGATCAAAAACTTTGCCGCCAAAAATCACTTCGGACGCGGCTTACTAAACCGCGGCATTGCGTTATGCAACTACGACCGTTGCGGACAACTCGTGAAACTGCGTAGTATTTCAGCTATCCGGCACGAAGTATGCTATTACGGCTGCGGCGCTGTGAAAACGGATGTCCCGGGAGTTTCTAAATCGAGCTTCCAAATTGCTTGCACAAAAAACAGAAGGAAATGCTTCAAACTTTGCAAGTCGTGGACTTTATCTCAGTCAGTGAGGAGAATATCTCAAATTTAACGCCGAAAGGAGACAATAGGAATGAGTTCGAAAATACGCAGTCATTTTCATAAGGTAGCATCACTCCATTACTAGGCCTATATGCCTACCCCATTCATTTCCAAAAGAACGAATTCCCATCCCTCACAGAATTCCCTTACAGAAACAATTCTGTAAAGTGAAGTCAAATTAATAAACAGGGAACCTCAATTTTTTGAATAGATGCAAATAAAGCTTCCGGAAATCGAGATTTTTTTGGTTTAAAAACAAGCTGCCGAAGAATTTTAGTGAAACTTCCAGATCTTCAATCATTTTGATCCATGAAACCTCAGTCACTTCCCGAAATCTCCAATTCATCCCGTACTCTCTCCCCAGACAAACCCCGTATTTAAGTGCGTCCAAAACTTCCCGGTTCATAACAGTTATTTCTTTCCATCTTGCAGCACAAAAACGAAGAGGAATTGTTGGTCTCGAAGCTAAGATCTGGGAGATGAGGGCGATAAATGAGCCAATTACTGGATGAGAACTGAGAGGGGAGGATGGATGTGACAGGGTGTGGACTTAATTCATTTGGTATTTCAGGTTCGCTTTATCAGTAATAGTGAGAAAGGAATGGGCCGCGATTCGTACCATCGTCGGAAACGTAAAACTGGAAAAGATGAGGAATCGTCGGACGAGAGCAAGCAGCGTTCCTTATCCCGAAGTCCGGAACGGAAGTAAACTGTTTTACCCTTTAAATTTTTAAACTAATTCTCAAGTTTTCATGAATTTGGGGAAAATTTAACAGGTGTGGTTTTTCTCATCTTTTAATAAACTGCAGCAAGCCATTTCCCTTTTTTCAGATCAAGACGTATGGATAAAGGAAAACATAAGGAGAAATCACCGGGTACCCCTTCATCCAGTAAGAAGTAATATTTTGATTTCACATTATGCTTTCATATATTCTATTTTCATTTGAATTGGTGGTTTCTTGATTATACATATGAATTCTTTTTCAGTCAGAAGTCTTTACATATCATTATTTTCAGTGAAGAAAGTATATCAATTGAGGAGACGAATAGATTACGTGCATCGCTTGGTCTAGCTCCACTTGAAGTAGGTAGTGGCCCAAAAGAAAGTGAAGTGGAAGGAAGTGAAGGTATAGAGAAAGTTTACAAAGAGGATGGGATGGAATTCGTGCATAAAAAAGCCGAACATTTGGGCGAAAAAAAGAGAGCTGACGAAATGCGAGAGAAATTATCGGTTTGGTTTCGTTATATATTTAATTATTTTTAGTAAATCTTTATTCGAGTATTGTTGCAAACTTTTCTGTTTTATAACAAATACAGCATAAATTTGTCAAACTGTGCTAACTCAATAAATTTAGGTAGCTCGTGATAAACGGAAACTGTATGAAAAAGTATTGAAAGTGAAGCCATTGGCGGAATCCGATTCCGATGAAGATGCAGCCTCTTGGGTTGCGAAAAATCGTGAATTAGAAGAAGAGCGGAAGAGAGCAGAAGAAAGGGTAAATATATGTACAGGCGAATTAGAAATGTACTACAAGCAATACAGCAGTATGGAAACAACAAATATTTTTTCAGGCTAAAATTCTAGATGATATGGATGCGGATTTTGGTGTTAATGCGTTGATAAGTGAGGAGAACAAAGTGAAACAAATCAAAAAGACTAAAAAACGAGGGGTGGGTATAATTTTTATGTTTCCAGAACCATTGTAACAGCTTTTACAACAAATCATTTTTCCTTTGATAATAAGTTCATCATTTATTTTTGCAGCAGAAATCAGATCTCGCAGGTTTAATGGTAGGCCATGCCAAAGAGGATTTTTTGGAAGGCAGCGAAACTGTCCTGGTGCTTGAAGATAAAGGTTGGGATTTCGCGGAACGTTGTACTTCCTGAATTTTTTAATATTTCCAAAGATATTACTTAGTACTTTTTGCTCACTCGGGTTATGTCAGAAATATATTTTAAGGCGTTTTGGATGAAGGTGAAGAAGTTCTTGTGAATCCAAATTTGGCTGAAAACCACAGGTATCAGAAAAATGCCGAATTGAAGAGAAAGAAGGGTCGCTATGAGCCTTATGAAGAGGAGCTTGATGAATACGGAATGGTCTGTTTTGAAATTCGGATTATTTTTTGGAAGAGTTTATTAATAATCATTTTATGCTTTATGTTGCCAGTGTGCATAATTTTCAGCCCAAAGAAAAGGGGCTTCTGTCAAAATACGATGAACTGGAAGGCGAAGCAAAAAAGGCTTTCCGTTTGGGTATATATTTAAATGAATTCAAGTACTTTTCGTTTACTACCATTTGTTTCATATCCCGAATGTTTACTACTACTTATTATGTCTCATGTTATAGCTGCTGAAATGTTTTGATCAGTGGAACACCTATTCATTTTGCATAGTTTATTTCTTTATTGCGATGTACGAAACGTGGCATACATACGCCCGTTGAGTTTCCAAACGTTCAGCATTAATCCATAACATCATCAGATCTGCTGATTTCGCTGCCATTAACATTATCCATTTTAATAATTATTAAGTGTCAAATATATTCAAGATGAGGGTGGCGAAGTTGATATTGATAAAGAGCGAGAAGAAATGGAAATGCGTCGGAAGCTGTTCATGGCAAATAAGAAACTAGAATCGTTAGAAACGCCAAAGTACACAGTGGCCAGCGAATTTTATACCGAGGTTTGAATTAATAAACATTTTGATCGCATTATTGGTGCATAGATTTGCTTTTTCTGTCCGTAAGGAATTACTTTTCAGGATAATCAGATACAAAGGAATTGATTAGGCTTTTTCAGGAAGAAATGCTTTTATTTCGTCGACCAAAATCAAAAAAGACAAAAAATTGCGCAAGAGAAAGGAAAAGATGTTGAAAGCTGATGATCTCATTCCAGATGAGTCTACATTAGCTGACGATGCGGAAAGGTTTGCTTAAAAAATTTTTAACGTTGTAATTTTCGGTATGCATTCAGCATGGTAGTTTGCAGTGATTCACGTTTGGAAAGGTGGGATGTTTTTTGATGTTATTTAATTGCTAACAGCAGGGATTTTAAAAGTTTGGGAACCTGGCAGAATACCTTGTAATGAAAATTGCGGCTTCCATCTATTTCGATCAGAGTTTGTCATATTTTCTGTTCATTTATTTCTCTGAACTTACTGAATTATTCGTTGTTAGAGCAGCCAAGGTAGCAAATCGACAGCGCATACAAACGGTTGGAATTAAAGAGGAGGAAAAAATCACAAAGGATAAACCTAATCTAGAAGATGGGGAACTTGCAGATGATGACGAAAAAAAGGTTTTGTATGTTTCTTCAATTACTTCTTTACTCCTTGTTTTGTCTTTTTTTTTCACCATTCATTCTCGCAATAATTTTATTGGTTTTTACGTTCTGATTTAGGGCAGCTGGCGTTCTGCAGAAACGAGTGCTCTCGTAGATATACAAAACTTGAACAAATTGGCTAAACGAGTGGACGAAGAGGATGATGATGATGATGATGATGATGATGGCATGATTTTCTTTTTGTCTTTTTCTGATTTCATTTCAAAAATCTGCATTTGATGTCAAAGTAATTAGGCAACATAACTTTCCTTATTTTAGATCTGGTTGGTGGAGTGGATTTATCCAATGTTGTGATTGAGGATGATGCCGAAGAAGAACTAACGGTGATGTTAGACCGTGCTCGTAAACTTAAACAACATGAAGTTAAAAAGGAAAATCCAGAAAGCGATGCTGCATTAAAGGTTATACACTGTAAATGTAAAGTACTGTTTACACTTAAATGTTGACAAATATTACCCGAAGAGTTTTTCAAAATTTATATTTTTAGCATTTAGTACTGTTTTTCCTAAATTCACGTGCAATAATTTTTAGATGCATGAATTGATGAAGATTCATTCCGTGAAAGAGGAACCGATGGATGTAGAAGAAGGAACTGATAAAGGCGGTGTTGTTATTGACTCTACAATGGAATATTGCCGTAATTTAGGTATTCGCGGACGGTATTGTAACTTGAATGTAACATGAAGTTTGTTAGAAAATTAATCACATTTATGGTGGACGAAATTTTGATATTATCTTTCCAGGTGAGATTCCTACGTACGGATTGGCTGGTAACCGGCAGGATGCGGTGGATGTCAGGGAACTGAACGAACCAGAGGCTGTAAAAGTAGAAACGGATGAAGAGCCAGGTGCTAGTCATTCACCAGCTGAGTACGTTTCTCCATTTATAAAATAATTTCTTCATATTTCTTGGGCAGTGCCAATATTCCAAAAATTATTTCAACCTGACTGCAAATATCTCTTTTCATTTGTTTTGTTTTCACATATTTTAGGGAGCATCGTAGTCTTAGGAGATCGGAACAAGAAATGAAAGGTAAATGGACAGAAGCAACTGCGTCGACATCTGCTCATGATGACAAAAAAACTAGGAAGCGCAATGGAGAAAGTGATGTAAGCTTTTTGTTAGAAAAAATAAAGTTTAACTTTTATCAGGTGAGTTTAAGTTTAAAGTTTAACTTTTATCTTCGAATATCTCAGGTGAGATATTCGAAGCATACAGTATAATGGACAATGAAATCATTTTTAAATCTAGTTTTTCGTTTTTCAAATTTTAGGAAAGCGATGACGAAGCATACAATGTGTTGGGTGAAGAACGTGATGTAACAAAGGGTGTTGCTGCAATGTTAAAATCTGCTGCCGAGAAAGGTTATCTTGATGCTGGTAAAGAACGGAAGGTGAAGGGTCCATCATTGAAACATTTGGAAAGCAAACGTTTCTCGCAAATTGAAACTAGTCGATAGTACGTTTTTTTTTTTTTTTTTTCCTTCGTTCTGAAGTTTGCTATCATATTTTTTTTTCTGATTTACCGTATGCTTACATAACACTGTCAAAAGAAGTTAAATTATGTGTATTTCTGATATTATCTGAATCATGCTTATGTAAACGTACGGCTTATTATTTATAGTTTTCTCGTTATCTTGTATCCTTTTGTCATAGCCTCATTAATATTATTTTAGAATAATGGAAGTCTGGTAAATACTTAATTTTATTTTTTAAAAAACATGTAATTTCAAACACAACAACTCACTTTGCAGTGATATTGAGGAGAAATATACGAAAAAACTGGAACGAATGGGAACAACCGGCACGGGTCCTGTACGACCATTCCCAGAAAAAGCGGATTACAAACCAGATATACGGATAACATATGTCGATGAACGTGGAAAAGAAATGGAATCAAAGGATGCATTTCGTGTTCTTAGTTGGAAGTTAGCCTGATTCACTCATAGACGATTGAATAGTGGGGATTGTAATAGTTACTATATGTAATTTAATTAAAATTCTAGAACACTGACAATGTTAATCAGCCTTTTTCAGATTCCATGGCAAAGGGCCGGGAAAGAAGCAAATTGAGAAGAGACAAGCGAAACAGGAAAAGAAGGAGCTCATGAAGAAAATGAATTCCATGGACACACCGTTGGGAACACTTAACAAACAATTAAAGAAACAAGAAGCGATGCAGACCCCATATATTATTCTGAGTGGTTCTGGAAGAGATACAGGGTTTGTTCGTTTTATAAGACAGGCGAGGCATTAGAGGAGTCTGAGATCAGTTGCTATAAGATTCTATATTTATTTTAAATCTTCGGTTTATCAAGAGGTGTACTTTTGAAATGCAGTCATATACTGAGAAACTGAATAGTGTGTCTTTATCAGTTTTAGATGAAAATGCTCATCAGTAATAAGCAGTATTTTGCAGGGCACCCTTGAAGAAGGAATGATGCACTTTCTCAAAATTAACCTGAACGCTATCAAGAGGATTTATAACTTTATTTTGAAGATTCCTTACAAATTTAACTCGGCTATTGTTCCAGATAGTTTTCGATGATTTTTTTATAAGAGAACCGTTCACATTTCTACTTCGGGGACAAATTTGCTTTCTGTATTTTCAGTCAGGAAATTTTTGGCTTTTTTCCGTTTTCTTAAGAAAAGATAGTTTTGTGTGGTTGGGATATTTTCATATTTGAGAATAAGAAACCCTCTGGAGTGTCCTACTTATGTGAATTGTGGTTTGTAGATTATCGGTAAAAATTTATAACTTCTTGCTACGTATAAACGGGGAAGCAAATTTACAACACACATGCGCTGTAGTTCGCTACAATGATCAAATACACAATATTGTTCGGGAAGGGCAGTGAAAACAACAGGATACGACAATCAGAAAATAAGGGCATGAGAAATGAAACTGACTTGGTAACAGTTTCAGATGAAGTCTAAAGATAATGCGATATAGCTTTTACATAAGGGATTAAGTTATTAGTTTTTGTTCCCTTTTCAAGGTATGAGTTTCTAGATTATTTTAAATAAGGATGAAGTAAGGAAGTGATCAAAGGTGTAAGGATATTTGGTATTTCAGACTCTTCATCTTGCTCAGAATGCTACGATGTGAGAGGCAGATTTTAGACTAAAGCTGATGTTCATTTCGTATTTTATTTGTCCAGAAATAAGTTGTCATTACAGCCCATAGCCATAACGCAAAAGTTCTAAAACATCTGCTATAAAGGTCCTATTGTTAGATTTGATGAATCCCGAAGGATTTGAATTTATGTTGAAGCTAGCAGTATAGGATCTGATAACACCATTCTTACTTCCTCGAGGTAACACTCCCTGTTAATTCTTCATATTGTCGATCGATAGCGCTATATTTTTATAAAACGTTCAAGGACGTTAAATTGGAACCCGTTTGAGCGAAATATCGTTGCATTCTCTAATCATTCTTATTTAATGGCCCAAAAATCATTATTAGTTAATGGTGCGAAAATTTGCATTGCAATAAGATTGCAATACTTCCTACTTCCTCAGAATATCCTGGACTGCTGTTGCTGCAGTTGAAAATGATTGGCGTGAAACACTCCGGTTGCATATACATTGTGCCTAAAAGATTCCAATTTGTTAATGAATCTAGAATAAAAGCCTTCGATAAATTCGACTGAGATTCGAAGAGTGATTTAAATTAAAATCCTAAACTGTCTCTTCCATGTCTTCAAAGTAAAACTCCACAAAACGGTTTTCATTAACATCAAGCTATCTTTATTTTACTAGTTTCCGGTGTAACATCTGAAACAAATTATTTTGACTTCCGTATTATTTGGAGGTTTTATGTTCTATTACTTATATCGTGTATTTAAGTGAATGACATTGATAAGTAGTTACCTGGATAGTGATAAAGTGAATTCCATGCTTGGATTTTAACTTTTCATTGGCTTCATGCACCACATGATTCGAGTCACAACTTTTTTCAGTATCGAGATGCACTGATATCGCTACTTTGTCCATAGTTAGCGACCATACTCGAAGCGAATGCACGTCTCGGACTCCTTCAGAATTCGTATTTCTGATTATTTATTCTAACAATTGTAACCATACAATTAGATGAAAGAGAGGGATTGTCTTACTAATTTCTAATTCTATTTTAAACTCAACATTCAATGATGGGATTTAGAAAAGATCAAAATATGAAATCGATTAATCAATCATATAAGCAATTAATGATGCAGTCCATTTCATCTCCTCTTTCTTCTGTCTTTTTATCTAATAGGGAAATACGATTCTCTCTCAAAGGCTAAGTGACCTCAATATGAACTCTATCGGTCCCAACAATTTAAGCTGCTGTGTAAACAAAGAGAATGGAATATTAGGAACATTTGACACTAATGAGACTTAATAATCTATATGTAAAATGCCATTTCTCTTCATTTAGTCTAGACTATTGTCCAATTAATTTAAATTTTGCTTTCTAGTTTCAGATTTTAAAAAAAAGAAAGAAAAATCTACACAAACCTTCAATGGCACACAGTTCATTATAAAGTTTGTCCACATTAATGTGTTTCGGAGATGCTTCCATCAAAATAAGTACTGAATCTCGAGCTACCGAAAATGATGTCAGCTAAAAATTAGTGGACGTTTTTATAGCTCCATAGTTAAATTCGATCAAGGTGATTTTAAATTCAAGAAAATATTCAAATTTAAGAATACGAACCATAACAAGCATTGAAAAAACAAATGTACAAATAGGATCTGCCAGAGGATAATTCGTAAATTTAATTATTAATGCAGCAGATAGTACACCCAAAGATTGCAATAAATCACCGAGAACATGAACAAATGCAGCTCGAATGTTAATATTACTCTAAAATAATTTTGATTGCGGAAATTTACCCTCAAATTTAGCTTCAATTTATTAATTCATTCTAATTAACATCCATCTTAATTAGTTTTTCGAAAAGATTCTTTTCAAGCGGATAATTGATGCATATCTCTATTATTCAATCTTACTGCTCATAAATTCTTCTTAAAATATAAATTAACAATTCTCGTTAGCGCTCCTAAATTTGCTACTATTTAGAAACTAATCAAAAAGAATTTTACTTTCATCAAATAATTATCATCATATCTCGAGGATTTAAGTTTCATGAAAGTGCAGCTTAACGTTTTGACTATAATTAAACATATCCTAATATTATCCAAATTTTTAAAAGATGCAAATTTTGAAACAAATATTTTATAAAAATGTTTGTTATAAAAATTAAATTTAATAAAAACTAACCCCAAATTCCAATATATGATGATCATGATCGGTAACATCAATTGTTTTAATAATATTCGCATTATTATCCTGCTCACAACGAATATTTTTCATATCATTCTGATAAACTTTACATGTACCTTCCTAAAATGTAAATTAATTTTTTTTCTTCATTTAAATATTTCACAATTATATAATAAATAATTAATATCCTAACTCAAATAATATTAATTCATTTAAATTTACCTCTAAATCAATGGGAAATGTTTTCTCATTTCTATGTCCATGATGATTATGTGACAATCCAAAATGTGAATGTGTTGTTTTCCCAAAATGTAAGATAATACCCATAATTATATTAAATATAACACTTATTGCTGCTGTATATAACATAACTGTTGCATCAACATCAAAATTTTGTTCAATTATTCTTTCAATAGCTGCATATACAAGTATAGCTGTTAACGCCCAGATCATCATTACACTGTAAAAAGAAAAAGAAAAAAAAAAGTTGTAATAAAATATTTTCAAATTTACAAAAAATGCTAATCATTAATATTAATCTAATCCATTAATTAATTTTTATCATTTATATGTTACCTGATTAATGCTCCCAATATTTCAGCTCTATAATATCCAAATGGTAAACGTTTTGTTGGCTTTCTTTGTGCTAATTTAATAGCAATAATAGCAACACAAAAGCTTAACAAATCCGAAACCATATGACCAGCATCAGTCATAATTGCCAAACTATTTGCAAAATAACCACCCAAGAATTCAATTATTATGAATACTATTGTTACTGCTGATACAGCATAAAGTGATTGTTCGACTTTTCTGAAAGGAAAAAAAAAAAATTGTCATTTTTTTAAAAATGAAAATATACCACAATCTTCCATTTGTTATTTTTAAAGAAACCTACTGAATGTAAAATTGGAAGAGAAAGAATTGAAAAGTTGTAAATTTCATTTTCGGTTTTTTCTTTTTTTTATCAGTTAAATCACAAATAGTAAAAATAAAGACCGCAAAAAAAGAAAAAAAAGGAAGTTATATAAAATTTCCATAATTTCTAAAATGGTTACTAATATTATGAGCATTAAATTAATTTAAAAAATAAAGAAAAAGAAAAAAAAGTAAAATTAATTAATAAATCTAAATTGATCATTAAACATTAAAATTGATCAACAAATATTAATTTTATAAAACTTACTTCTTTTTTTTTTTTTTTTACATTTTATAAAGATATAAGAACAAACTTGGTGTTAGTATTTGTTTTGTTATTCCTATCACAATAATATAGTGGTGTTCCATCATTGATACTTTCGATATGATTTGCAACATTTTGCGCTGATTCGGATCGTTCTCGAGACATCAACCTAAAATTTAGGATTTTAGTGAAGTTTTATAAGGGGAAAAGAAAAGAAAAAACTCATTTGAAAATGTTTAAATTGAAAAATATAATCAAATAAAACATTAAAAATTTCAATCAATGAGAAGTACTTTTAACCGGAATGCTATTCGAATCAATATTTTTTCAAAGTTTTACCTAAACTTAACTCATCAAAATTCCAACAATTTACAATAATTCTTATTTTACAACAGATGCAAACATTTTTTTTTTTTTAGGAACTTTTTGAAAAGAATGCAAAAGTTCGTTTCTTTTTTTTTTAACTAAAAATTGATGCAACAATCATTTGAAATTACGTTGTTTCTTTTTTTATTTTTGTAAAATAATGAATAGGTGTAGAAATCAATGACCCAAACAGAGAGTTTCCTAATGCGAATGAAAAAGGAGAAAAAAAAAATTTTCGTTTTTTTTTTGTATTTCATGATTGATTCTTAATTTTTGTAAATGAATCAAGCCAAAACAACCTTTAAACGTTCCAATATAGAGCCTTTTCTGATGTCAAAAAAAAAAATGAAGAGATGTTACTTCTAGTTTTCCCTTTTTCTCCTTTTTTTTTTTTTTAAATGAGGTTTTTTCTTAGAATTGCTAAATATCATAAAATAGGAAATATGGCATAGGATTGATTGTAAATATTGAATAGAAATATGTTCCTCAAACTTACGAAATCAGCTTAGAATGAATTGTTGAAAAGAATTTAAAAATAATTTAATCATTATAGGTTAGTCATATGCAAATCAAAAAGAACGATATGATGAGTAATACCATTAACATTGATTTCAATGTGATAATCGGATGACATTATCACTTTACAAACATTTAACATTCTCATATGTTAACATTTCCAACAATTTTGATTCAAACATCATTTTACAAAATTTTTGAATTTTTGCAAATTTAATCTTAGTCTAAAATATCATTAAAAAAGATTTATTATAAATTAGCGTTTTAATTTGCAATTATTGGAAATGATATTTCAACGTTCAATTATCATAACTTTTTTTTCACTTAACAACATTTCTAAATCATTATTCACTTCCATTACCAATCTTAAAGGTTGAAAAAGTATTTGTGTCCAATTTTTAAATAAACATATCCAACACTATATAGAATGTACTCTAAGCCACGTCGATTTTGTCATTGTAAAGTAATTAATTCAATTTCATTTCTACTCTAAGATAACAATTTGACAGTTAAGAAGTGAAATGAAGGGACAGAATTGTCAAATACATTTAATATTATTATAAACAAATTAAATCAAGAATGATGTGAAATGAAATCACTGATAGGAAAATGTCAAATTTAAAACTATTCTATGAATTGTTACATTATGGAATGAATTCCATTCTAGTGGGTCTCTTGAGACATTAGAAGTTGAACATTAAAGATTAAATGATTTCTGAATGTTGATTACATCATATGTACTTCAGAGTTCATTGAAAAAGAAAACATTCTAATTAGTGAGTAGAATAAACGTATGCAAAAATCTTTCAGATAAACAATTTTGCTTATCTTAATTTTGCCATCATTCGAAAGTTTTTTTTATCCCTTTTAGTCCTTAATCGATCGTGCTAACAATTTCGATATCATTTTAAATCTCATCTCACTCAAAACAACAATATCCCTCAACTACTACTGA